ATTCTTGTTTCATATGTTCTGCTTTTTCTTTCTGAATAAAAGCCAATTGTTTAAAAAATAAATAAATAAATAACATATTTGAGATCAGTCTTATTGGTGAAATAGAAAGCTTGATAGCAACCAATCAGATGTCTCCTGCCATGCTCCCACACTGCACAAAGAAACAGATTGGTTGCCTTGAGCAGCAGTTATTGGCTTTGACTCTTTTCACTGTGATGCCATGTATTCACAAAAAAACAGAACTATATTTTATGATTCTTTTTAATGTCCCAGTTTTGCCTGAGATTAAAATTTAATTTTCACTGCACTTCCAGCTGGGTTTTTATTCCCTGTGTGTCTGAGTCAGGAAACTGCTGAAGTGGCTGACGTCCAGATCGGAGCCTTGAGGGAAACACAGTTACCTGCTGATATTATATTTCCACTAGCAAGCTCCTTGCAGCTTACCATGTCAAGTGATGCAGCACGGTGCTTTAATCCATTGCAAATTATATAGGAGTTTGGTGGAGTGTGAAACCCCATAAAGGAAAGTTAATATATAAACACTGCTCAGATTCACTATTCATAGCATATTTTATGGTGAATGGGTACATTATGTTTACAGACTGTGTATGTTTGCTAAAGCTAAAGTTACATCCCGACTATGGAATTCCGTATGCTCATACAAACCTGTATTGTGCTTATATCCAGCCAGACACGGGATTGTACTGCAGTATCTCTCCCACTGGGAAAAGATGGAATTGGCTCCTATTTATATTTAAGGCTACATGGATCAAAATGTATCCGGTTCAGCAGGGACTGGCTGAATTTCTACCCATGTAGGCGCAGCCTGCATGTACAGAAGTCAATCTACTGATCAAATTCTAAAAAACCAGCCGGTAGGGTTTTCCCTAAATGATCATTGCTGCCAACCAGGGCTGCTGTTAGAAACCATAGGGCCCCATACAGCCAACCTGACAGGATCCCTCCCACCCCAAAAAAATACAGTCTACTATGCTTCAGTTATGAATAAACAAAGTGCGTGATCAATACCAATCACACATTGTGTTCATTCAGGAAAGCAGGGGGCCGGACCCTTCCACCACTTTCCATCCTGAAGGATCCTATTGTGTGCTTGCAGCTGCCAATGGGAAACTGGCAGCACTATGGGGGTACACAGGGGAGCTGCACAGCAGGGGGGAATGTATGGTGCACAGAAAGGCTGATAGGTGTGGGGAGGGGCAATTACTGGAACTGATCCCCTGTATGGCCCTCTCAGCAGCAGCTGAAAGCAAGCAAGAGGGAAAGGAGAATAAGCCAGCTTTCAGCTGCTGCAGAGAGAGCCATACAGGGGAATGCTTCCAGTAATTGCCCCCCTCCACCATTCTGACGATCACCCTCCCTGCTGACATCTGATTCACCCAGCTGCCTGGGCCCCCCTGCTAGCCTGGGCCCCATACAGGAGGGCTGCTGGTACCCCCTTATCCATGGCCCTGCTACCAACTATAGCCTTCAGCACTGATTATTATTTTTATTATACAGTATTTATATAGCGCCAATAGTTTGCTCAGCGCTGTACATTATAATGGGAGACAGTACACGAGACACTACAGTATCAATACAATTTTATACACGAGGGGTTTGAGGACCCTGCTCCTTGGAGCTTACAATCTAGGAGGGAGGGGATAGTGGTACAGGGGGAAATAGCTGTGGGGGATGGAGTGGTAGGAAGAGTGGAGGAGATCGGCAATTAGGTGAGGGTGGGGTAGGCTTCCCTGAACTGATAATTGTATTCTAACAGCAGGGAGGTCTCTTCGCCATCAGAATGCTATAGTTCAGCAGGAGCTCTTCCCCCTTCCACTTTGAGTGTGTGGATGTTGCAATCGGTGTCACATCACCATGTGGTTTGGTGTGGCGCAATTTTATAAAAGGGTCAGGGACTTCTTTCCCCACGTTTCTTAAGAGTAGGGCAGCCCATCAAAAAAATTGTACAGAAACACGTGAAAAATGCACAGAACCACGTGCTAGTATGCAGTGTACTGGTGTAAACCTTAGGGTTAAGATTTACTTTAATAGCTGCTTGTGCACAAACAGGAGCTAAGGGTGGCCATACAGTAAAAACAAATTGCAACTCAATCTAGATTCCTAATATGAAGCTCAGGCAATGATCAGGTCATGTAGGGATATTTTTGGGGCATTAACAAGTACCTCTGGCACTGGAAATCATATACATTTTCCATCTTTTTAAATTCCTGGTGCTACCGAGACAATTTTGTGAGAAGAATTGCTTCTAAATGATAGGCAGATTGTGGTGGGTCGTGGTGCATCAGAGCACGGATAGATCTTCCCCAAACACCGTTCTGTGTGAACCATCTTTTCACCCAGGTACTTTCTCATCTTTTACCTATCACCTCTGATACATCATGCCAGAGACTTATCAGAAACGACTGCAGGACAGAGGAAAATAGTCCCATGGATATTTTTCCCCCACTGTGGTGCAGATGAAATAGGGAGGACAGTGGTCTTTTTCTCTGATAGGAGATCCATTAGTGTATAACAAATGTTTACTTTATGTTATACTGCTCCGAACATTTTTGGTCTGTCTCTTCAGGTAGAATATGCCAACACCAACAATCTTAATATTTTGTTGAAAATGTAATGCCCTACAACAAATCTGTGCCATAATATACTGAATATCAGAAAATAATGTTGGTGATAATATAAAATGCTTCAAAGTCTTGAAATAACTTATCTCCACAAGAGCAGCTGGATGTGATGGGTTCTCATGACTTTTTTTTTCTTTCATGACTTTTTAAAATGCTTGGGCCCCTCTGACACACCTGTGTAACTTAAACATTAGTATGCTACCACTATATAAATCAATAAACCGACAATTGAACATGTTAATAAATGTGGTACTAGATGGTGTGAACACTGACCCATAAGATGGCAATTGAACTGTAGTAATGCTGAACCAAATTTTAACTAATGCAGAAAAGGTTAAGGGGGAAAAGTATAGGCATTAACTAACCAAAAAATAAATGTCCTCATGAGCTTGTTAAGCAAACAGCCCCAATAGCGGATGGGTGCAAGCTTTCCTGACAAATGGGTACCCCTGGAGGTGACTACAAGTACCTGGTGTCCAATTGTCAGCATTAGCTGATTATCGTTGTGATGCACGTGAGGCTCTCCTTTTAGGAGTGTGCAATGGGTGGTTGATGGGCTGCTAGGTAAAGAGCAGTCTCTATTGCATTAACTTTTTGCAGCATTGGATTAAGCTTTGTAGTTCCACTCACCACTCCTGGCAACAGGTCCGGCCTCATACGCTTGACGATCAGTTGTCCCGGAAGTCTCAGTCCCCACGATCAGGTCCTCCCAAACAGTTTCTCACTGGTCCTCCCTGACTGAAGGCACACATGGCAATGGGTCTCTCCAGCTTTGGGTGCTGGCACAGCAGGAAAACTCTTAAGTGTTTTAGTCCTTGGTCTCTGGTATGGGCACAGACACCCCAGCAAAAGGTCTAAACTCTCTTGGTACCCCTTGGCAAAGACTCCTATGGTCCCTTGTCTCTGCACAGTCCCAGCAAATGCCACAGGTCTGTACGGTTTGGCTTATAAGCCATATCTCTCCAGAATTGCCTGGGAAAACTTCTGTCCTGCTTCCTTTTGTCAGCAGGGGTTTCTGGGTTGTGAAGTCCACAGCACAATAGCCTCCATTCACTTGTATTGTGCTGCACTTCTTTAAGGACTACATTTTCCAGAGTGCATGGTGTCTGCATAGCAGGTTCACCTTCCTTTTGATTGGCTCAGTGCCGCTGCTGCCAGGAGGGAGGAGGAGCAAGACAGAGGGAGATAAAGCAGGCAGCCACACACAGCCCACAGCTGCACCACTCTAATGCTGCCAGGAGGGAAGCGAAGGGAGAGAGGAACACAGCCCACTCCTCCAGCCATTCTATAATTGCTTGCAGCGACAGGTGGTGAGTGGGGAATTCACTCAGCCGGTGGGCACTCGACTACAGTGCAGTGAAATATCTCTGAAAATATACACCGTACAGCCAGTCGTACATGGACATCATTCCTTCCTCATTATTGAATTAAGGTGTTCCCAGTGAAGGCTACTATTAATGCTACAGCATACAAAGACATCTTGGACAATTGTGTGTTTTCAACATTGCGGTAACTGTTTGGGAAAAGCTTTTTGCAGTAGGAGGTCAATAAAAACATGGTTTGAGAAGTGAAGGAACTCGTGCATAGAGCCCTGTCCTTTACCCTACTGAGCACTTTTGGATGGATTGGATCATGAGTCAGGTCTTCTCATTCAACATAAATGCCTGACTACACAGATACAGATATTTGGCTGAATGGGCATAATTTGCCCCAGATACACTTTTAAATCTTCTTGTAAGTCTTCCCAGAGCTTGGGGGCTGTTATAGCTAGAAAGGAAGGGGGGGAAGTAACTCCATATTAACACCGAAGTGCTCATATAGTTCTGTTGGTCAGGTGTCCACAAAGTGGCAGGTATACTGTTTTCATACATAATAAAACAGCTTGAAAAAAAATTATAGTCTTTATGTAGGTGACTATGTAGCTTTTGTGGAAAAAAAAACCCTATTCAAAAATTTGCAGAAAAGAACCCCCGTAGCTGTTTTGTACTTGCACATACATGCATAAAATTGCACATGTACATGCAAAACATCCATTGGAAACTGTAGTGTGTTTTATGGCACACAGGTTTAGTTTCTCCACTTCTCTACAGAACATTCATAGAGATGGAATGATCTCTGTGTCTATGTGGCATCAATCAATTCAGCATTGCTAGTGGGCAGAGGAACATTTAGAGAGCTTGCACTAGCAAAACAGAAGGTGGATCATATTTGCCATTTATTATTTTGCTGTTTTTACATGATCAGATTTGCTTCACGGATAGAGTTACATTTTAAATAAATATGAAATAATTTATGTATAAGAAACAAATTTTTTGATAATATAAGCTTAATATCTTAAATGTTCTGTCTCTCTCTTTGCAGTTTTTCCCATATGGCGATGCATCAAAGTTTGCCCAACACGCTTTCAGAACCTTCGATAAAAACGGAGATGGAACCATTGACTTCAGAGAGTTTATATGTGCGCTGTCCATCACTTCAAGGGGAAGCTTTGAACAGAAACTTAATTGGGCTTTCAATATGTATGACCTGGACGGGGACGGCAAAATCACCCGAGTGGAGATGCTAGAGATCATTGAGGTTAGTAAGATTTGTTCTCCTTGCCAGTTCTGTGCCATGCTATATAGATCCTGTCAGCTTATCTTAGACAGTGAGACAAAAGCCCTTCATGGTTGATATAATAGTTATTTATATAAATGGAATACGGGGAATGAGACATTTCCTACTGTCACTTTGTTTTATTAAGTGGAATGTCACAGTGCGGCCATGGACTCTGTAGCAAATGGAATTACTTCAGCCCATCACGATAGCTAGAGCTGTAAGTATAAGCGCCCATTCCCCAGGCAATGATCCCAGGGGGATTTTATGAAAACAAGCCCCTTCCAAATCACCAATTGCCAGTTTTATACGGCAGGCCTGTAGATAAATGCTTCATCCACTGCACCTTTAACCTTTTTTTCTGTCCACAGTGTGTATATAAACAGGTCTCAGCATGATGCCCCATGCTTAGAAAATGTCTACCAATGTCATATCTTGGACAGCTACCAGCAGTCACATTCTGATGCTGCTAGCTGTCAAACCCAGATTTCATTGATCACTTTAGGTCTCACTAATGATGAGGAATCAATCAGAGTGGTTCGCAACCATATTATTTTTTATTTAATCCTTAAAGTTTTGTTTAAAAAAAAAAGCACAACGAGTCTAAACAAATTCATATACAGTTCCTTCAAAGAGTATTCATACCCCTTGACATATTCAACATTTTGCCATGTTACAACCAAAAACATAAATGTATTTTATTGGGATTTTATGTGATAGACCAACACAAAGTGGCACATAATTTTGAACTGAAAAGAAAATGATAAATGGTTTTCAACATTTTTTACAAATAAATATGTGAAAAGTGTGCCGTGCATTTGTATTCAGACCCCCAGTCAATACTTTGTAGAACCACCTTTCGCTGCAATTACAGCTGCAAGTTTTTTTGGGGATGTCTCTACCAGCTTTGCACATCTGAATTTTTGGCCCATTCTTCTTTGAAAAATAGCTCAAACTCTGTCATATTGTATGGAGAGCATGTGTGAACAGCAATTTTCAAGTCTTGCCACAGATTCTCAATTGGATTTAGGTCTGGACTTTGACTGGGCCATTCTAACACATGAATATGCTTTGATCTGAGCCATTCCATTGTAGCTCTGGCTGTATGTCCAGGGCTGTTGTTCTGCTGGAAGGTGAACCTCCACCCCAGTCTCAAGTCTTTTGCAGACTCTTACAGGTTTTCTTCTAAGATTGCCCTGTATTTGGCTTTATCCATCTTCCCATCAACTCTGGCCAGCTTCCCTGTCCCTGCTGAAGAAAAGCATCCCCACAACATAATGCCGCCACCACCATGTTTCACAGTGGGGATGGCGTGTTTAGTGCAGTGTTAGTTTTCTGCCACACATAGCGTTTTGCTTTTAGAACAAAAAGTTAAATTTTGGTCTCATCTGACCAGATCACTTTCTTGCACGTTTGCTGTGTCCCCCACGTGGCTTCTCGCAAACTGCAAATGGGAATTCTTATGGCTATCTGTCAACAATGGCTTTTCTTCTTGTCACTCTTCCATAAAGGCCAGATTTGTGGAGTGCGCAACAAATAGTTGTCCTGTGGATAGATTCTCCCACCTGAGCTGTGGATCTCTGCATCTCCTCCAGAGTTACCATGGGCGTCTTGGCTGCTTCTCCGATTAATGCTCTGCTTGCCCGGCCTGTATGTTTAGATGGATGGTCATGTCTTGGTAGGTTTGCAGTTGTGTCATACTCCTTCCATTTTTGGATGATGGATTGAACAGTGCTCCCTAACCCTGCTTTAAACTTATCCACAACTTGATCCCTGACCTGTCTGGTGCATTCCTTGGCCTTCATGATGCTGTTTGTTCACTAATGTTTTCTAAAAAACCTCTGAGGGCTTCACAGAACAGCTGTATTTATACTGAGATTAAATTGCACACAGGTGGACTCTATTTACTAATTAGGTGACTTCTGAAGGCAATTGTTTCCACTAGATTTCAGTTTGGGGTATCAGAATAAAGGAAGCTGAATACAAATGCATGCCACACTTTTCAGATATTTATTTGTAACAAATGTTGAAAACCATTTGTCAATTTCCGTCCACTTCACAATTATGTGCCACTTTGTGTTGGTCTATCACATAAAATCCCAATAAAATACATTTATGTTTTTGGTTGTAACATGACAAAATGTAGAACATTTCAAGGGGTATGAACAGGTATTCAAGGCACTGTATATGTGAAAAAAGGTCCTTTCCAATAAGAAGAAAAATGTACATGAGGCATAACATAAAATAACCCTTTGCAGCCCACAGCAATTAGAACAATGTGATTAGTACCATCAGTAGATATCAATATAGGGATCACATGCAAGTAGAAGCATTTATTTAGAAAATAATGGTTTCAGTTTGCAGAGGCAACAGCCTGTAAATGGCAGTGTGCCTCCTCATTAATACTGTAATTATCAGATACTGTTATAGTGTTACCAAAATATTAATACATATTTTTTTAAAGTCAGAAAAGTTTTTTTTTTCTATTAAAACGATATACCAAAATACAATCATTATGGTTCTTTAACAAATGTAAAACTTATTTAGTTGACTATTGTAGGACTAAATTCACCTTGTGCACTCATTGGCTGTTACCTATGCAAGTACAACTGGGGAAATCAATGGTGGAGAAGGATCTTGGGGTTCTGGTAGATCACAAGCTTAATAATGGCATGCAATGCCAAGCTGCGGTTTCGAGCAAAATCCTCTCTTGTATTAAAAGAGGTAAAGACTCCAAAGAGAGAGATATCATATTACCCCTGTACAAATCATTAGTAAGACCTCATCTGGAATATGCAGTTCAGTTTTGGGCACCAATTCACAAAAAGAACATTGGGGAACTGGAGAAAGTACAGAGAAGGGTAACCAAACTGATAAGAGGCATGGAGGAGATCAGCTATGAGGAAAGATTAGAGGAACTGAATTTATTCTCTCTTGAGAAGAGGAGATTAAGGGGGATATGATCAACAGTTATAAATACATCAGTGGTTCATATAGTGAACTCGGTGTAGAGTTATTCACCCTGAGGTCATCACAGAGGACAAGGGGGCACTCTTTATGTCTGGAGGAAAAGAAATTTAATCTCCAAATACGGAAAGGTTTCTTCACAGTGAGAGCTGTGAAAATGTGGAATAGACTCCCTCAAGAGTTGGTTCTGGCCAGCTCAGTGGATTGCTTCAAAAAAGGCCTGGATTCTTTCTTAGATACACAGAATATAACTGGATACTAACAATTATAGGTAAAGTTGATCCAGGGAATAACCGATTGCCTCTCGGGGGATCAGGAAGGGATTTTTTTCACAGCAGGAGCAAATTCGATCATGCTTTGCTGGGTTTTTTTTTCCTTCCTCTGGATCAACTGTGGGTATAAGATTATAATTTTTTTTTTTTTCTTTATGGTTGAACTGGATGGACTTTTGGCTTTTTTCCAGCCAGACTAACTATGTAACTACTGTAAGAGGGAGTAATAACCAAAGAACAGCAGTTATAATAGGTGATCCCTATTATTCTATTATTTTGGGTCTGTCTGGCAACCTCTGATCACATATGGGTAAATTCAGCATGATGACAAGGATCACGAGGACAAAGAGAATGAATTTTCCCAGCAAGGACACAGATTTTTATTTTTTTGTAATATATTTATTTAACATTATTGGAGAGAAGAGCAATGCAACTTATACAGAGATGCATGTTTGGCACCTATACCTAGGGGCAGCATGATATAAAAATACAGCTCAGGTCAATGGACGTGTTTGATACCTTAGAACCACTTTAACGTGTTTCTCCAAGAAAACTTACATTTGCACAACAGGGCTATGTCCTTATCATAAGTTTAGTGCAGCCATTGCACCCATCTGTGTGCATATCGGCACCCTGCCTGCGTCCTGCTTACAGCCTCCATAGTGTTACTTAGTGATGTCATAGAGGAGCAATGACAGACGATGTACCGCATCCCTCCAGGTGCTGTTTAAAATGAATGTGTTTGTCATATTCTGCACCACTGGGTACATAATTCATGAAACTAAGAATGTATTAACACAGCATTGGGACAGTCTGCAGGAACACTATAACTGCATAGTAATGTGTTTCTTACACAGTTCACTTGCCATATACCCGGAGGTTGCAGGGCTTGTAATCCTGCACTGAAAGATGATTTAGAAAAGCAATGAGAATTTATAAACTGGCCTTCACAGCTACATTGGGATCTTGAAATAGAGCTAAACCTAATCTTTCAAATCTCAAAGGCTTCAACATGTTAATGTCATTCCAAAATGTGTTTCCAGTATTTTCATCTGCAGCTTTACATACTTGTTGATCCTGCCATGAAGTTTATATTTAAAAGTGGAACTGCTTCCCAAAAAAAAGCATGTCGTAACAGGGAGAAGAGATTCCTAAACAAAAGCAGACTTTGCATGTTTTTTGCATGGTTCACTTTAAAGTGGAACTCAAGGAAAAAAGCTTTTATACTTCTATTATGTACAAAGTATTTACCTCTGATTTATTTTTTATTTATTTCAGGTACTTATATAGCGCCGTAAATTTACGCAGTGCTTTACATATATATTGTACAGTCTCATCAGTCCCTCATCAGTACAATCTAAATGATGCTTATCCAAGGTTTGCATCACTGTTCTGTAATGTCAAAGCCTTAGTAGCCTTCATTGATGCCAGAAAGTACAGCTAGTGCTATATTGCCTGCAGTGAGAATACAAGGAATTCTGTGAATGGGCAAGGGGAGAGGAAGGGATGGACAAACAACAGAGCAGTTTGTGTGTATCAGAGCTGCAGCTCTTGTGTTGCAGTGCCAGAAGCATAGTGTTGGCTGTACGTTCCAGCAGCAATGAAACTGGGATTTTTAAAGTAAACAGCAGTGATGCAAGCCTTGACTTAGCATCATTACAGGTCATTTCTTTGTACACAGCAAAAGAAAAAACATTCCCTGGTGTTCCATTTTAAGAATAACTATTTCCATATACTGTACAT